TACGTTGTTAAGTATAAAAAAGAGTAAATCGTTGCAACGAATTCAGTTTCTGATTTGAATAAATTTCTTGATTTTGAATAAGTACTACGTACTGATTGCGAATGGCACTACGCTAGTAAGTATAAAGTATCTATTTTTGATGTTGTTCGCGTCGAACTGACAGAGAGCGAAGAAATTTAACAGTACAATTTAGTTTGCCTTAAAGAGATCAATTCGGACAACTCTTTTTATTTAAACATCTCCAGATCCAGACAAGGATCACTGATTGTGCGTTAAATCACGCTAAAGAGTCGTCGACGAAAATCAACTTATTCGCGATTACGAGACGAGCTTCTGCTAAAAGCGAGAGCTCACTTCGCTCGCGCTAATGTATAGACAACAGAAGCCTTTCTAGAAGGATCTGGAGGATTACGCGACGATATAACGATTTCCATTTCTACGCGATCCTTCTAGAAAAGCCATGCTTACAATTTAAATTATTTGGCTGCTTTGGCCGTTTAACCGCGACGCAGCGGTTGGCAATTGATTCAGAGAGGCCTCGCCGCCATCGTTCATTGGAGTGCCGTATGGATTAATGAAATCGATACCGCTCGTATGTCATAGATGATTGCGCTGATTTGTATAGAGCGCGGTAATTTTAAGCGCGATGGTCATCCCCTTCTTTCAACTTTCGAACATCCCGCTCGCCTTGTCCGATGCCTTTCTACACTTGACGAATTTGTCATGGCCCCCATACAATTCCAGTGTCGCGCGTCATTGGACTCTGCAAATGAATAATGGTGCGCTAATCGGCGAAATTACAGTCACGCGCGAACACGTGGACAATGAGTGAATTGTCACAATCAGCAAGTGAGATTGCCAGAATTTTGCTCTCAATCACGGATCGAGTGACTCGTGAGTGTGGTCGGACCGAAAATGTCTTCAGACAAAAGAGCCGTGTGATGATTGACATCAGCTTAGTGTGTTGTGTTAACGTGACGAATAATAAGGGAAGATCTCGCGAAAAATAATCGCGATTTGTCGTTGACAGCCTGTGTTCGCGATTAATCTCAATTTAAAGGAGCCCTACGATAAGTGATTTTTTTTTTCGGTTGACACTATGCGAAGGATGGCCGTTAAGCTATTTTTTTTAGTGTATCTATACTTTACAAATGAAAATTTTTAACTATTTTAAATATTAACATACATTAGTTCGGTATATAGGCGGATTCTAATTCGGAGTTCTGGGGAGGGATGAAGAGCGATGGGGTACCCGTGGCGCGGGGGAGAGGTCCGCGGGAGATGAGAGGGTGATGTCACTAGACAAGGCAGTGACGTCACGAGGGAGGGGGAGGGGGATGACGCAACAGTGCATGATGTTCCTGGATGAATGGATGACGTCACGGAGGTGTGCGGGAGATAACGCCACAGTGGGTGACGTTGCGGGGGATGACGTTACGGAGATGACGTCGTGAGGATAACGTTGCGGATCGGGGGAGAAGTAGGATGTCCCGGGTGCGGAAAATTACCTAGCGGGAAATGGAGTGTGAAAATTTGCGTTACGGAATCTGCGTCGCGGGGATGTCGTCACGCGAGATCATTGGTCGCCGACCGCGTGGTTCGCTGCCGCCATCGGTCCCTACCGCCATCGGTCCCTACCGCCACCTCCATGCGCGGTCCGCCTCCGGCCGCGGTCCGCCGCCAGTCCCCAATCGACATTGCGCTATATAATCTATATCGCTGAGGTTAGAAGAAGAAAGGATGAGAGAAAGTGAATAAATGCTTACAATGAGATAATATATACATATATATACACATATATACATCTATATTAAAATAAATAAATAAATATATTATATATATATATATATATTTATTTATTTTAATATAGATGTATATATGTGTATATATATTGTGACGTGACGTTTTCCGTCCGTCACAAGGGTCGCATGGCCCGACCGAATGGTGCAGTCTGGCGTCCTGAGTCCTTCCACATTTTAGGGGGTGGATGCATCTGCGCTTTTTCGCGACGTTATTTGCGTGTCTCACGCGTTACCGTTTTCGCTTCTTTTTTTGTGCTTTTCCGTACCGAGAGTTATAGAAACGAGCGACTCTCACGATCTTGGCAGATTGAAGCCGCCTCACCGGACCGTGAAGAGAGAAGAAGGAAGACGACCAAAATTAGAAGTCAAGAAACGACCGCTACTGATGGATTTGCCGGGGCGCACGACACCTTGTCCCTCGGATAGCACGCAGGTTATATCATTCATTATTTCGCCCTTTTTGTTGTCGCAAGACACCTTTTATCGCATCATCTTCCAGGCACAAGGCAGAACGAGGATTGGAATAGTAGGATAGGGGTAGCCACTCTACGCCCCAAGGACGGTGAGAGCTCCGAGAAGGCGCCTCGAAGCCACGAGGCGGCCCGAGAATATCCCCTCAAATTTCGCGCGCCAGGACATGTGACACGGGCATGACGCGGTTCCCGCGATTAGCGGAGCCGCGGCGCCACGCGCCAATAAGGAGCGATAAGGCCCCCTCACGGGGATAACGAGTCCTGTGTGCCCCCGGGAGAATCAGCGCCCGGCACTTGTGCTGTGGCCGAGATAGAGAGCGGATCTCAGAAGGACTCGGACTGTCAAAACTCCAGAGCGAGATAAGCGTGCGAGAACGAGAGCTAACCACTACAGGAGGTCACGGTGAGACGAACGTGGTCATCTGTAAAGTCGTCGGTTTCCGAATCCGGGAGGCGCGATCCTATCGAAACATTTTACCGGGGATATCGTAGTGAGCGCCCGTGGCATTACCGTGCATTAAGTTTCCGTGGAATACGAGCAAACGTGTCGCCTCTCGGAACGGTTATTCACAGTCGGGGAAGTTTTATTGCGTCCGCCAGGGCCACAGCCTTGTCATTTATCGTAAGGTTTTGTCGCGTGTCATATTTTGTATCGTATCGTGTCGAAGTCCAGTATTGCAATTTTGGTGCGTATCTTGTCGTTTCGGAATCTTGCAGCGTAAGATCTGCATGTCTCTTAGAGTAGCGACACTCTGTGTCGTGATAATTAACGATACTTTGTTAGAGTAATTAATAGTTGCGTCTATTCTATCATATCGAGATTGCGCCGTGTCGAGTTTGCGTGTATTCTGTCTTTATCTGACCTTCGGTCGAACGTAGCGAAGCCCCGCGAGCGCGCACGAGGTTACGCCGTGTTTACAGTCCTTATCAAATTCTATCGCCGGGTGAAGCGATGAATTATTCGCATAATTCGCGAAAGTATCCTTGCGTGGCGTGAGCTCGTGCCGCAGAATTCTAACGAAATTGGTACGCACCGCGTAAAGCATTTCAAGGCCGATGCAAAACAGCTATCGCGTTTGGTCAGATCTTATCGTCATAATTTTATCGGCAGATGTAAATGAAAGTCGAAGACTTGTTCAATATACTTGTTATTTTTGTTGTTATTAATGCTTGTGTGCTTTATTGTCGTTACTATTCGCTTCTCCAAACGATCCTCTATCCTCGACCACGAACCGCCTCCTCTGCCATTTCCAAAGCTGAGGTACCGGTTGAGAGCCCGTTAGAATATTGCATAGAGAAATATCGCGTAATTTCGAGAAAGAGTGGCACGCTCACTCGTGTCTGGCGCTCAACTATTATTTTGCGATTTTGTGTTGCCCTTAAGAGTTGCCGCGTGAAGACGCCTTTCTGTCGCGTTTCATTTAAAGTCACTCGTAATCCGATTGCATAAGGAAATCTGCTGTGAACGCGCGACGAAGTTGCGCCACGCGAGTGCGGTTGCAATATATATATATATATATATATATATAT